TCCCTGGGGAGAGGGGAGGGGAGGAGAGGAGAGGGGGGCTGGAAATGCTGCGGCCCCGGCCGGGCAGCCTGGAGAGCTGCAGCATCTCCGGGGCTCCTGCCAGCCGCTTCTGCCAGTCCCCGGCTTCCTCGCTGGGTTTGCAGCTGGAGGTAAGTATGTGCAGGGCTTCTCTGGTTTTGCATGGACGTGGAGCCCTGCGTGGGTAGTCCATCCCCCAGAAGGCTGCCCAGTGAAACCTGCTACCGCTTTCCCCATCTCTTCTACCCGGTGTGTCTGTGTCCTCAGAAGGAGCTGTGCCTCGTCTGTCTCTTCCCTTTCTCCACTGGACTTGCAATAAGTGAGAAGGCTCAAATGAATGATGAATTAAACGCTCCTCTTAGTGCCCTTCTTGGCTGGGTAGGGACTAGAGCCTTCTGCTGAGAACATAGTAGCTTTTCTTACCTGTTGCTGGTGAATTCACTTCCAGCCCTTTCCCCTTTCAGCCAGCGTCACTGCTGCTACAGCACAGCAGTGATGTGTTTGAACTCCTTCCCCATCCCTAGACTTGGTACAAATGACCGTCAGACAAATTAAAGGCACTGCCTGAAACTTCAAGAGGCAAATTGATAATGAGGGTTATCGGCCTGCTCACTTTGGGGACACCACTGTCCTCTATTTCATCTCTAGTCTGATCTGGACTCTCCTCAGTAAGGTCGAACGCTGCCGGGGCAGCACAGCAACACACGCAGGTATCACCCTCTTCCTTTCCTAGGAAAGCTCTAGGGCTCCAGAGCTGCAAGAATCTCAGCTCTCGACTCTGTGACTGTCTCAAACCCCTGCGTATTGCCACAAGCATTTGGTAGGAGAATTGATACCAAAAGCCCAACTTCTGCATTTCCTCTGTTTCAAGCGTGGCATGAGGCTGCCTCAGCGAAAGGCAAATTCCCTGGTATGTGCAGAGGTAAACGGAGCTTATACGTCTGTTCCCCTATGGTGGATTTTATTCTTTTCAGTGCAAAATGTAGCAACTGTGTTTACTGCTTAGCTACCCAAAAACTTTAAAAGATGGTGCTGAGGGTCCCCCTTCGAGGACGGTAGTACCGCATCGGCCAGGTAACGTCTGCGCCCTGACCCCTCGGCTCTCCAGTAGCGCTGTGCTGCTCTATGGGTACTTAGGAAACTGAAGGGAAACGTCTTAATTTTGTTTCTTGTCATCAAATAAATCTCTCCAGCAAGACTGAGATCTGGTGCACAGGCTGCCTTTCAGAGCCGCTGGTTCCTACAGCTTTGCTGCCTTGGCCCCCCCTTCTGCACTACATGAGCTCCTGGACAGGTATTCACTACCGTTCCGTTGGCTTTCAACTCCTGTTACGAGATCTGGCATTTGTCCCAGATGTATTTCCTAGTAGTGATTGCACAACGGTGTGGTGCAGTAGTGGTACAGGAAACCAGCCGAGACGTATGACTTGTTGTTAGATAGAAATCTCCCTGCTTAGTTGTTTGTTCTAAAGCTGCTTTCAGCAGTGCTGAGGGACGTTCTCGTTTTCCACCACTTGGCCCTTGCGTTCAGCAGTGATTTCTCATTATAATGGGCTTGGATCAGTTACGTGGAGAAGCAAAATGGTTCCTTCGATAAGAAGAGCTTCCTAGGAAACGTTCCACGGATGTATGTTATCAGAACTTGTCAGGTTTTTCGCATTGGCAGTACTTTAAAAATCTTGAGCAAAAAGGCTGGTAAAGCTGCAGAAGAAGATGAAATAGCCTGTGCTGCCTGGGAAGAGGCTGGGTCACTCCTTGCTTGCAGCGGGAGAAACCTGGAAAGATTGCTGGCGGTGGTGTCTCGTGTAGGCAGGAAGCTGGCCAAGAGCCACATTCCAGTAGCCCCCAGCGGTGATTCTGCAGGCCACATGGGGTGTGTCCTAAGCTTTTTTTGCATCCTAAGATTTTATTTTTTTGGGGGGGGGTGAGGAGGAGCAAGCTTTGTCCTTGGTGGATCAGGGTGGGTTTTTGTTTTTTTTTGTAAGGACCTCTAGGCCATGTGGTGTGCTTTGGCAGTACATCAATAGAAACCTCTGCAGCCAGCTGAATTCTTATTTCTAACAGATGGGTTTGGAAACCCCACAAGGAAGGGAGATCTTTACTAAAGGTATTGTAGTAGTCTCAGTAGTGTTATCTGCCCCATCTGCAGTGCATAAAGTTGGCACAAAACCTTCTGACCTTCTGAGGTGTTTCCACCATGCCGGCAGTCCTCCTAGCTGGCAGAGGGCAAGCACAGATGCGCTTGAGCCCCTGGCAACGGGAGTCCTAGCACCGCATACAGCTGGCTGTCTCAAAGCTTGGATCCAATTTGGGAATGTTGCTTCAGTGTGGTATGGTAAGGCAAAGGTTCCATGACTATTTTTTATTTTTTTTTTTTCTTTCCTACCAAGAAATCTTTGCTTTCACTCACTTTCCAGTCAAATCGTGAAAACCCAGAGTTCAGGTTCCTGCACTCCAGAGGCTGGCACTGCAGATTTGGTTTAGTGCCTATGAAATGGGCTTTGCCAATCTAGGACCTGTTTGTTGACCATGCAGACTGGCTTGTAAAGTGGAGTGACTTGTTCTTTCTCTGCACACCTGAGCTGTCACTGCTTGGTTTTTTTTTCTCTTGACAGTGATTCAAGCGGCCTAATTTTGTTTCCTCCTACTTTACTTTGTAGTAAGTGACCACATGAAAAACCCTGCTTAATACGAGTGCACTGACCCTCGCTTCCTCTCCTGGATTAGGGGATGAACTTGGGTAACAGCAGCTTTGGACAGTTCTCTTAAATTCTGCTCTCATCTGGTTTGGTAGAGCAACATTTTCCCCTTGCAGAATGCAGGGAGGGGAAAAAGGATGGGAAGAGCTGAAATGAAAAGCCTTCTAAAAAGAATCTTCCAGTTTTTAGATAAAAAGGGATTGAATGTGCTTAGCTACTGGCAAATCCAGCCCCTCATCTTGGGGACAATAGTCAGCAGCAGTTCCCTGGTAGCTGAGAGTTATCCAGAGGATCTCTCGGCAGAGTTTATGCTGTTACACAGAGGACTGCATACTTTGGAGCCTTCCAGACAGCGGACAGACAAGAGCCCCTAAGGACCTGACTTTAGAAAGAGATGCTGGAGTAGAGTCTGACTTTGCTTTCCTCCGCTTACTACCGAAAGCGGCACGTCTCCTGTGACTTGCTAACCCTGGGCTAATGCTGAACAGCTGCAAGCTTTTGCATGTGAGTCTGTGCTGGCAGAAGTTGTAATAATTTGAGTTCTTGTGCTGAATAGCTCCTAGGTGGCCTCTACAGAACATTTGCCTAACAAATGGGTTTTAGATCACACGATAACATGCAGCAGGCCTGCAGGCACATCTAGATAAACCGCCTGAACCCCTCCTTGAAAAGTACCCTACCAGACTCCTTCAGCCACGCTTTGATTCTGATCTGCCTTTGCTTGGGCTGCCCCAGCGCTGAGAGTGGAAGCAGCTACAAATCTCTTGCAAAATAATCCTGACGTCCTGCCTTTGCACTCCAGATGGACAAAACCACAGTACTGTTATTATTAGGCAGCCTGTATGGGCTTACGGACCCATCTGTAATTCTTCCCCATCCTCCTGCTTTTCTTTCTTCCCCCATCCTCCTTCTCCATAAAAGGGGGGGGAAAAAAAACCCTCTGATGTAAAGTCTGAGACTACACCTAATGATGGTGTAGTCCCCGCTCGGACTGGCTGAGGCATGGAAGAAGAGCTGGCTTTCTGGGGCAGCGAGGTAGCTGAAGGGATGCGAACGGCCACGGTGTAAATCTGTTCACGGCGCTGCCTGTACTCGGCTTGGCTGGGCTGGGAGCTGAACGTGGGACCTCAGGACAGGAGCATCTCTTGTTCCTCCTGCTCTCCCCACAAGCCCAAGTGTGTTCCCAGGTGAACAAGAAAGCGTTCAGTTCCTCGCTGCTCAAGAGTCATCTACTGGGCTCTGGAAAGCTTCCAGGGCTTAATGTGCTGTTTCCCTTCCTCTGAAGTCGGAGATAGTGTTACCAACAGTGCTGGGTCTGTTCCCTTGTCAGACACAGAGCTCTCGCTGAAGTGCTTCTGCACACTGTCTCTTGTCAGTCCTTGTTTTTGTTTTTTTCGTTGCTACATATTTTAGCCATGTGGTCTGCTATTGGGAAGAGCAGCTGGGCGATCTCTGGAGCAGTGCTCTAGCAAGATAGATGTGTGATATCAGGCAAAGGCGGCGTTCTTGAAGTCTTTCTAATTTTGGGTTATTGCAGAGTGGTGTTTTTGTTGTGGGTTTGTTTTTTTTTTTAATGGAAATGTTTTGCACTTCCTACAGCATTAAGCTCTGGCTCTTCTCGAGTCCGAGAGGACTGTGGATTTGGGGCGGTCTGCAGCAGCTTGGTGTAAGCTATTACACAATCAAAGAGTAAGTTGGCTGTACACCGTGATACCGAATAGCTTGTCTCGGAGAGACACAGGCAAATACGATACATATCATATCAGGACTTTGACCTGAGTGCAAGGAGGATGATGTGAAAGGATACCCAAGTACCCTTTGCCTGACAAAGCTGTCTACGGGCGATGTTACTTGGGCTTGATTGCTTCCAACTGGCCTGGTATGGCCACGTCTTTTCCAAGAGCTGTAACTGAAGTGAATAATACTTTCATACAGAAGGCAAAGTAAATCTTGCTAAATGACAAAGACAACATCACATTCCTGGTTCAAATCTAGCAATAAATATCCTGTGTACTGATGAATCTGTATCTGGAGCCTTGAGTGCCAGAGGGTCTTGTTTCAATTGGAGTAGGATGACTCTTTGTTAATCGTAATTAAAATCGGCAAGCAGGAAACAACAGATGGTAATCAGAGTTTGATTTTTTTTTTTTTTTTTTTTTCTTCCCTTGGAATCCCTAAGAGTTGATCCTCAGGTGCAGAGCACTTCTAGAGCTACTATGCTAAACGCAGTATTAGGGGGTTGTGTTGTGTGGGTTTTTTTTGTTGTTGTTGTGTTTGTCTTGTTTAGTTTTAAATTGGCTACCACAGTATGCTCACTAAAAATGACTTAGCCGGGATATGTTGGCTGTACCTACTGTCGTTAAATGAAACTGCATAAACTGACATTAAAATACAAGCTGCCCTTCAAACAGCACTACCAATGAGCTCACTTATTCTCATGTATGCATTGCCATTGCGCTGGCTTTGTTAGGCTGAGCTCTTGTCTTCCCAGGGATTTCACCCGTTTGTCCTGGGTGCAGTGCCTCTGCGCTAGCATGTTGGCATAAAAATGTAAGCGCAAGTCTGCTGCAAAAAAAACTTGTAGACAACTTTGGTGGTGTAGGTTTGTTTTTTGTTTTGTTTGGTGTTTTTTTTTGTGTATGTGGTTTTTTTGTTTTGCTTTGTTTTTAACGGGGGGAGAACAAGGCATTTGACAGACGACCACAGTGAATTTCAGGAAAGTTTATTCCTTCAGTAGGGAGTCAATAACTAGTATACGCATGCCTTGCAGTAATGTTTCCAGAGTTCTCTGGACACAGGAGGCTTTTGATCTCTTTGATCAAAACTCCTTGCGGTGGGGGAAGAGGAGAAGCAGCGTACATGGCTGGTGGCTTGAAATGGCTGTATCTGATTGCGCTGCCATGAGCTCATCTCCATCCTCCTCTCCACATGTTCCTTCTAGTCACTGTAGGGA